CATTGATCCTTTCTACTCTTTTGTTGGTCTCTATTTCATTTATTTCTGCTCTAATTTTCATTATTTCCTTCCTTCTGCTGACTTTGGGCTTTGTCCTTTTTCTAATTCTGTTAGGTGTAGCTTAAGATTACTTATTTGAGATTTTTCTTGCTTGTTGAGGTGCACCTGTATTGCTAAGAATTTCCCTCTTAGAATCACTTTTGCTGCCTCCCATAAGTGTTGGTTTGATGTATTTTCATTTTTGTTTATCTTCAAGTATTTTTTGATTTCTCCTTTGATTTCTTCATTGATCCAGTGGTTGTTCAGTAGCATGTTGTTTAGTCACCACATATTTGTGACCTTCCCAACTTTTTTCTTGTAGTTCATTTCTAGTTTCATGGCATTGTGGTTGGGAAAGATGCTTGATATGATTTCAATCTTCTTAAATTTATTGAGACTTGCCTTGTTTCCCAGCATGTTCTCTATCTGTTCCATGTGCACTTGAGAAGAACGTGTATTCTGTTTTTGGATTGAATGTTCTATATATCTATATCTATTAAGTTCATCCGGTCTGGTTTTTCATTTAATTCCACTATTTCCTTATCCATTGATGTAAGTGGGATGTTGTAGTCCTCTGCTATTATTGTGTTGCTGTTAATTTCTACCTTTAAGTGTGTTAATAAATGCTTTATATACTTGAGTGGTCCTGTGTTAGATGCATATATATTCGTAAGTGTTATGTCCTCTTGGTGGAATGTCCCTTTTGTCATTATATACTGCCCCTCTTTGTCTCTCATTGCCTTTTTATCTTGAAGTCTGCTTTGTCTGGTATGGCAACACCTGCTTTGTTTTGTTTGGCATTTGCTTGGAGTATCATGTTCCATCCCTTCACTCTGAGCCTGTGTTTGTCTTTAGAGCTGAGGTGTGTTTCCTGGAGGCAGCAAATTGTTGGGTCTTATTTTTTTCATCCATTCAGACATTCTCTGTCTTTTGATTGGAGAATTCAATCCGTTTACATGTAGAGTGATTATTGATATATGAGGGCTTAATACTGCCATTTTATCTCTTGTTTTCCAGTTCTATATTTCCCTTGTTTCTCTTCCCTTGTGTTTCTGATTGCCATTTCAGTTTGGTGGTTTTCTTTGATAGTTTTTTCAGTTTTCTCTTTCTTTATGATTTGTCTCTCTTCTGATTTTTTGTTTAGTGGTTATTATGAGGTTTGTATAAAAGATCTCATAGATGAGATAGTCCATTTTCTGATGGCCTATTACTTCTTTAGCCTAAGCAGTTTCCCTCCCTTTCCTCTTCCTCTTCTAAGTTATTGGTGTCACAAGTTATTCTGTTTTGTCTTGTGAGTTTGTGATTAAAATAAAGTGTTTATAGTTATATTTGATGCTTTCCTGCCCCTTATGTTTTATGTTGTAATTAAGTGTTTGGTAATCTGTTCTGATAGCTGCAATTTTCTGATTTTGTCTATTTATCTCCTTGCTCAAGGCTTTGTAAATCTTTCCTGTTTTGTTTCAGGTATGTGGAACTTCTTGATCATTTCTTGTAGGGGAGGTCTAGTAGCGATGAAGTCCCTCAGCTTTTGTTTATCTGGGAAAGCTTTTATTTCTCCATTGTATCTGAATTATAGTTTCCTGGATAGAATATTCCTGGCTGAAAGTTTTTGTGTTTCAGTATTTTGAATATATCATTCCAGTCTCTCTTAGCCTGTACATTTTCTGCTGAGAAATCTTCTGAAAGGCTGACAGGGGTTCTTTTGTAGATTATTCTCTTCTGCCTTGCTGCCCTTAATGTTTTTTCTTTGTCATTGACTTTTGTCCCTTGCTACCCTTAATGTTTTTTATTTGTCATTGGCTTTTGCCAGTTTTACTATCATATGCCTTGGAGATAGTCTTTTTGCATTGATGTAATTAGGAGCTCTGTAGGCTTCATATACTTGTAAGTCCAGTTTCTTCCCCAAGTTTGGGAAGTTCTCAGCTGTTATTTCTTTGAACAAGCTGTCTGCTCCTTTCTCCCTCTCTTCTTCCTCTGGAATACCTATAATGCTTACATTGCATTTCCTAATTGAGTCAGAGATTTCTCCAAGACTTTCTTCATTTTTTTAAGTCTTAGTTCTCTCCCCTCCTCCACCTGAAGCATTTCTATATAATTTTTTTACCCATTTTATCTATTTAAATCTATATTTCTGTCCTCTAAATTGCTAATTATGTCCTCCAGAATGTCAGCTCTGTTTTTTAAGTTTTCTAGATTGTTTTTTAATCTCATTCATTGTGTTCTTCATCTCCAGAATTTGTTCGGTGTGGGGTTTTTTTAGAGTTTCAATCTCTTTGGTGAAGTCTTCCTTCTGCTCATTAATTTTACTCCTGAGTTCATTCAACTGTCTTTCTGAGTTTTCTTGTAACTCATTGAGTTTATGAGAAATATTTTGAATTCTCTGTCATTTAGATTGTAAATTTCTGTTACTTCAGGATTGGTTTCTGGAGACTTGTCATTTTCCTTTTGCTTTGAAGTGTTAATATAGTTCTTCATCGTTTGATGAAGTGATCCTGTCCTGGTGCACAGTGGTAGTATCAGGTCACAGATTCCACCTGCCACCTGCCACCTCTTGGGGGAGACAGGAGCTGTCTGTTCTGAAACTGCTGTATCTGCTGGAAGTTGTTCTGATAGGGCTTGTCTGCATTTGCTTGCTGGCCACAGCCATTTGGCAGGTCACACAAGCACACATAGGTGCTCTGTGGTGGAACTGCTGCCTTGGCCGGGGACTGCCCAAGCTGGTGCACTAGGCAGGAGGGGAGGGGTGCTTTCTTTCACACATGTGCACCTACTCTCTTCTCACAGGTGGTTTGCCTGGACTGCTGTGCTTGGTGAGGGTGCCCATGCAGTGGCTGAGCCATGCCACTAGGTGTAGAATCGGGGGCCGGGTTGCAACTCCAAAAGCATTCACACGCAGGCCTGTCTGCTCCCCCATGTCCTCTTAGAGCCACACACTGGCTGCTGTGTGAAGACCTGCAACCTAGATCACTGCCACTGTGGAGGGGGAGGGGAACTGCTCACCTTATTGCACTGCTTACTGGGGATCCAGTACCCCCACCTTCAGATGTATGACTGTGTGGATCTCTCAGACATCCTATTGTACTTTGTAGGGTATCCTCTGTTGGTTAATGAATGTCTGTTTCATCATAATTTAGAGGGGAGAGACTAAGGGAACAGCTCAATCCGCCACAATGCTGGCATCACTCAAGATTTTAACCCAAGTATTCTGACTACAAATTATTGCTTTCCACCAAATCAGAGCTGCCTAACAGGTGTGCTTAGAATGGATTAAAACTGTGCCAAGATGTTGATTCTCCTGGATAGCTGGGACGAGACTGGGACAGCAAGATACCTGGGGCCCTTTGCCTCCTGATAAATATGATTTTTTATGTTCTGTGTACTCAGAAAGATTTGAATCACTGCAGTATATCAGAAAAGTTGCACCTGTCATCCTGTTCCATCTATTACAATTTCCAAAAAGGAAAATAACTATAAATCTCAAAAGAGGGTAGTACTTTTGCATCCATTTAGCAGCAGAACACTTTTCCAAATTAAATATTACATAAAACTCACTATCTGAAAATAAAATTGATATTTATAGTAATTCTATCATAAATATAAAAATCTGACAAGATACACCCAACATAAAAGTAAATAATGATAATAATGGGTTATAACTCAGGGACTAAAATAGGGATCCATGCATCCATTCTGTTATAAGTAAGTAAATTAATAAATTGAAAGTCTGATGAGGAATGGGCTATTTACATAGTCTCAAAGTACCACCCTATATATTATGTTAAGCAAAATAAGCCAGAGAGAGAAAGACAAACACCATATGATTTCACTCATATGTGTAAGATAAACTAACACACAGACAAAGAGAACAGTTTAGTGCTCACCAGAGGGGAATGGTTTTAGGGAGTGACAAAAGGGCTGAAGTGGCATATTTATACAGTGACTAACAAATAAGAATGTACAATTGAAATTTCACAATGTTATAAATTATTATGACCTCAATTAAAAATAAAAAACAGTACCACCCTACAAAGTATTAATTACAAAGGTAAAATGAGTAATTTTACCTTGAAGAAGCCTGGCAGATACCATCTTAATCAAATGATCAAAGTTAATATCCCAGTATGGGACATCACTTTCTGTGATATTCCTGGCAAAGATGCATCATGTGAATTTAGCCATGAGCAAACATAAGACAAACAAAGTTTGAGGGACATTCTACAAAATAACTAATGTGTATCTTTAAAGTTGTCAAGGTCAGGAAAGCCAAGGAGAGACTGAACTGTCCAGGTTGAAGGAAAGTAAAGAGAGACGTGACAACTAAATACAGCATGTGATTTTGAGCTGCACTCTTTTGCTAAAAGTTCAGCCATATGCAAACCAGCATATCCATAAAGACACTGCATAGGCTGCGTCAGCCCAAGCTTCCCCCTATAAAATAAACTTCTCAGCAAGCATGGCACATGTTAAAGTTCTCCTGTTGAATGACAGCCAGTTAGGCAGCTGTGAGCTAAATCAAACTTTCTGTGAACTTTTGACCTATATTAGCTAGAAACTCATATGGTTTCTTCACTGAAGTCTTTATTAAAGCTCAGTTATTGACAGAGAAGGACAAACTTTATTTCTTGCATTTTTTTTCTTCTCTATTCTGACACTTGAAATAAATGGATACTATGATTGATAAAAACCACTAAGTTGTTGAATGTTTTTGTAAAAATTTTTACGTGTTAGCAAGCTGTGACATACTCTAATACTATTTTTAAATACAAAACAAAGCTTTACTACATCTTAAACAAACAATCCAACAAAAAGTACATCAGCCCAGTCTCTTTGGAGATTAGAAATAGAATTCATCTGTTTGATCTAACTTAAGAATCAATTATTTTACAAATTGATGTAGTTCATTTCTGATTGGTCCCAGCTTTAACCTGATCCACAATCACCCCTTGCTTTCTGTGTTATAGGAACTTTATAGTGGCAGCAGAGACTGCAATATTCTTGCTTGGGTACCATCCTTATATGAAGCGGTTCCTGAGGATGATGAGGTAAATATTATTTGTACAAATTGTACAGATTTGTACAAATATGATTTCTAAATCATAAAGGAAAAAGTTTTATTTGCTTTATATGGGAGAGACATTTAAATCATTTCTTGCTATTTTTTGATTGTAAAAATAATTTGCCTGTTATAACACATTTGGAAAGTTCAGAAAAATATTAAAAGAAGATAAATTTCTAAAGTTGAATTAATCATTATTAGCATTTTGATTTACTTCATCCTTGCTTTTTTCCTGCACCTATGTTTTTTCTAAAAATAGTTAATATGACATACTAACATACATACGACATATCAACATACATACATTGGACAGCTTGGACATACAACTTGGCATCCTGCTTTTCTCACTTAGTGTTGTACAATAAGCCTTTTTCCATGTCATGAATAACTATTTGTAAATACTGTTTCTAATAAAGCATTCTGTCATGTATATACCACAATTTACTTAAATATGTACCTATTTGGAGACATTTCTTTTGATCATTATAAACAAATCAAGGTAAATATCTCTCCATAAATTGTTTATATTTTTGATTACTTCTTTGGATAGATACCTAAAAGTAGATTTATCTCTTGAGTTATCATTTATGACATTTTTAAGGCTCTTTATTCACACTGTCAAATTTTGCCAATTTACACTCCTATCAGCAGTACATTAATGCCTATCTTAGAACATAAATTGGTACAAATATTACAGTGTGACTAAGAGCCTTAAAAGTGTGGTAGGTAAACAAAGATTAATAAGACATGATCCTGGTCTTAAGTAGTAGCTTCTGTATTTTTTTACTTTTATGTTAAGCTGTGTAAAGCTGATATCTTTCCCACCAAAGGTTATTTTACTAAGCACTGTTAATCATCCCCATTTATCTAAATTACTAGGATATAAAAGGTCTAATGTCTAAACGCCGATATTTATATATATAATTTTTTGAAGTTGGAAATATAAGTAATGTAGTTAGGAACACCTTAAGTTAATCTTACCTAAGTCATACTAAAAACAAAGCATCTTAAATCGAGATGGAAGTAAGTTATTGCTAGAGTAAGTTTGAAATTCTAAAAACATTTTTCATTTATTTAGTTCATTTATGAAAACAAGACTTTGTCCAAAACCACATGGAAATGATTTTTATGGGGGTAGTTGATAGCATTTAGCAGCTATTAACAAAATATGTTTCATACCTAAATTTGCAACTGCTATGGTTTACTGCGGTGTCAAGTCTGTGAATTATTTTCTTTTGGCTCTAATCCAAATGAAAAAGAAGAAACACACAATGATAAATCTTCATACAGCTGGCCAAACACTGTATGAATACTTCCAGATTTCATCACATGTCTAATTCGGTTTATTATGGCTTTGATTAGTTTTAGTGTACAGCAACTTTAAATGATTATTCTTCTGTGGAAAGCTTAATATGGTCAAATAGTTTGGTTCAGCCATTTATTTTGCAGTATTATTTAATTACTGTGTCCTGCTGTTTGGGAATTACCGTATATATTAAATCAAAGTTATAACACTATAGGCCATGTTAGGAAGTATAACAATCATTAACCAAATGAAAACAATAAAAATAAATTAAAAGTAAATCTATGATTTATGTATGGAAAAGGATATTAGAAGAAAACTAAATTGCTTAATTTATGTAGACAGTATGTGACGCTGATGGTCTATTTATTTTCTTATTATGTAGTTATAGTACTAGTTTAACTCTTCATCTAGAAGAATTTTTGCATATGAGAAATTAAGCTAAACAAGTAGAAAATCAAATAAAGATACACAAAAAACAAGTTAACTTTATTTTGTTTTAGAACTATAAAACCTTATCCTTTAAAATATACTGTTTATATGCTTTTACTTTAAGATAGCCATCATTCTCATATTAATACAAAATGTTATGTGCTAAGATTATTTTCATAAAACCTTAGATTGAAAGATTTCTGTGAATGTAGGTAGAACATGAGTATGATCATGATGTAGATCCCAGTACAGAAAACTGTCTACACAAGACCCTACTCCTTACATGTACATTTACTGTTTAACTCATTTAAAATCTCAGCTGTCAAATAAATGACTGCTGCAGTTTCCCAGACAGGCAACATAACACAGTTCAGAACAAAACAAAACACACACGTACATACACACACACTTAGTCTTTAGTTCCAGGTTAACTAAATAATAATAATACTGGTAACAGGGTTTCATTAGTGATCTCAGACAAGTTTATGATATCTCCAAATATCAGAATCATCAAAGCAAATTGTTCTTAGGTTTCTTTTCAAATCTGCCCTTGAGATGAGATTTACTTCCCCGTCAACAAGGTATAATCCCTTAGGGGTATTTCTTCTGATATCCAAGATAGAGGAGGAATTTAGTGCTACCATAAGAAACTGAAGGACATTGGGTGATAGGGACAGGTTTTATGGTCTTTAAGCATAAGTCCTATTACATAATTGGCAGGCTGTTTTATTATATTCTGAGGAACCTGCCTTCCTTTTGTCCCCTCTTCCTAAAACTTGCTCATGGTCAAGGCAAGCCTGTGTAACTCCTAATCACTTTTCCCTGCCTGAGATCTATAAGGCAGCTACATTACAGTTTAAATCTGACCTCTCGTCAAGAGTCTTACTTTATTTTGACAGTCACACAATACATAAAAGTTTTATTTACCACTCTTATAGACATATAATCACTTGCTGACACAGACAACCCTATTTTTTACCTATAGAGACTTTTCAGTTATTGCGAGTTAAGAAATTTAAAATTTATCAAGATGTGTGCATGGCAGATGTTAAGTTTGGCTTTGTTCTTCTTTCCCATTATTTGGACCTGGACTAGATCCCCTCTAAACTCATGCTTCCCTGTCTCCATAACATTCGCAACTGTCTGTCAGCAAAACAGGCAGCCTGGTGAGGTAGAGATGGCTATGTTCAAGGAGAGAAAGGATGTCCACTAGGAGGAGATGTTGTAGAGAAAACTGAAGTAACAGATAGTGGTTACACTTTATCAGTGGGTCTCAAACAGTAGTATGTGTACCGCATCCATGTACATTTTTACTGCAGCTTATAACTACGAGTATATTTTATTTGTGACTTTTCTAGCAATAAAATATACTTCTGATAATACTGTAATGCATTCATATTGTTATCCTTTACTACTATGCACAGTAAAATTTATGTGCAAATGTATTTAAATTTTCACATGATTATTTTTCTTTGCTTACCATAGCAGCAGTAAGTTACGATAAAATATCATTTTGCTTCTCTGTTGAGTCTTCAGTGAAATCAAAATATTTAATAGGTTACATATTGGGCTTCTATAGTGGAATTAGAAGGTATGACCTTTGTGTGGCTTATCCACCCAGAGACATTTTGCGTAGATATGTAAGGAGGAGTTAAAGGCTCTAAGATAGAGTAGGGAAGAGGAATCGCCACCCCCACAGACACAATACGTCTGTGAGTAAACTCTCACTAAATAACCTAACTTAGTAGCAAAATTATAAACCCCAAAAGATAGGAAATTCACTAAACATTTGGATGAAAGAATAACTAAACAGACTTCAGTATGCTACTCTTAAATCAGTGGACTGCTGTTGGAAATAAACGAATAGTTAGCTGAGGTTTGGTAACAGTTTTTATCTGGACATTTGAAGTATGATGGAATTTTGTTTGTACAACTAAGTGACAATAGCCAGCATTAGGTTTAGTAACAGTGACGGTTTTTACTATGTATAGTAGCCAGCATTAGGTTTAGTAACGGACTCTGATCCATAGCTTTAAAAGCTATAAAGGATACCTAAATTAATATATTGTTTTTCAACTATCCTGCCTGACACTTGGGGAATTTACTGGAAACACCCACTTTTTCTACTGTTACTGTTTGAATTATAAGATTCCAAGTCATAATGTTCATCAAAAAGGAAACGAACGTTTTCAGATATACAATAGGGGTTACCCTTAACATAAAATATTGCTGTATGTTGTAAAAGGCAATAAATCTAAGATAACTTAAGGGTAGGCCTGGCGCTAATACATATTGGGTTTGGGGTCTGAACAAACTTGTAGCTAACGTAAAAGCTGCAGAGTAAGAAGCAAACCTGGCTCATAATGCCCAGATACTCAAAAAAATGAGACCATCTTAAAGACCTTCAGTCATCTGCCAGAGAATAAGAAGGTAGCCGTTCAAAAACTTTCCCCAAAAAGTGAATTGATTTGAAATACCACAGATAATTAAAATTCCTCTAGTTGATGATTACCTTTACTAGGTTTAGCTCTAAAGTTGTAAGAATACTGTTTTAAATAAACACCATCCAAATGCATGTTATCTTTCCAAGAAATCTCCCAGGGAACCTATATGCTAATGGAAACCATGTTACCATTCTGACACATTTTCTATGTTCTTCTGAACTACTTTGCTAGTAGTTAAATAAATAAAAAATAAATAAATAAGTAAACCTCACTAAATAACCCACATTACTTTTTGCACTAAAAAGGTATTACTCAGTTTGATGAATACCTCATTTCCCAGATATAGATATTTGCTTATTTATAAAACCCAGGTCCATTCAAACAATAAAAAGTTGCCAACAATATTTTGGGCTGTCAGGTTAGACTATAGACCTGAGTCCAGTCTTAGCCACATGGATGTTAATGTGCCACCTTCTCCAGGTAATTCCAAAGAGTTGTCGAAATTCCTTAAGTAACAGCAGCATCATAGTGTGTGTGTGTGTGTGTGTGTGTGTGTGTGTGTGTGTTATGTGTGTATACACATATATACATATATGTATAAATATATATAAAATGTTTGTGTGTGTTTGTGAGATAACTACTTTGAAGGCCACAGATAATTTAAAGTCTGGTATGTCTATTTAAAATGAAGTTACATTATTTTATATTGTATGTTGGGTGTTTCTTACATTACTTTTGTTTCAAAATTAACAATTCTATAGTTTCTTTCAAAATAATCCAGTTGCTTTTCATCTGATATATTTCATAACTATATTGTGAGCCTAAAATTATAAAATAGAATAATTGAATCTTCCCTTTTTTCCCCTTTTTTTAAGACTACAACCAAATCACAGTTAAATCCAGCATTTGAAGATGCCTGGAGCAGCAGTGATGAAGATGGATGAATATCAATCCTTAGTACTTTTGTGTCTCTATTGATGAAGCTTTTGAAATGGGACTTTTTTTAACTCTCCAGTGACAGCTAAATTAGCCTTGAATTTGGATGATTTTTTTCCCCATGTTTTAAAGTGAGGTAGTATTTGCATGACTATATAGTTGACTTCTCTACAGTTGTCAAAACATGTCTCCTTGATCCCAGGTGCCATGGCCTGGGGCAACCCCTATTGCCACAGTATAAGGAGACAGGTCACAGCACCCCATGTGGGACCTTCAGCAGATTGTGTGAACCATAAATGCAGTCTCAGAGGACGGGCAAGTGGAGGTTTCAGCACTGACTTTCTCCTAATGGGCTGTACACGGTTCATTTTCACTCTCAAGGATGATTTTACTGAAGATGATTACATCAAAAATAGTAGTTGAAAATTTAGTATCAGAATTTTTTAGTTCTTATTCATGTATTCAATTTTTGTAATGATTTCATTTAGTTGACCATTGTCTAGATATATGTTAAATATTTTTGGACTCAAACCAAAAAGGACTCAATCCAGAAGTTTTTAACTTGAGGAAAATCCCATGTTTCCTTTATTTGAATGTGTCATATGGCAGCTTGTACTCATGCTTGAACTTCCTTTCTATGAATCTCCTTAAGAGTTAACTAAGTCCTATTTCATTCAATGAAGCAGAAAATGTCCTGGCAGGGAATCTGGCTTAAACATGAAATGTTGTCATAAAATTGTTATCTTATTGTCTAGTCTTCTTCTGTCCTAATCTACAAGTGATTATCATGAAGCTAATCTTATATTCCCTTTCTTGATTATTATCAGCAGGAGACTAGTAAGAGAAATTTCTGGAGCTTGAATACCAAGTATACAGTTGTTGAGTTTTTTAAGTGTGTAAATTTTAGGCCTCATATCAGACCTTTCAGGCCAAATGTTTTCCATTCATTTACTTTATAGTTGATTTTCTTAAGCCCTGACCATTTCCCTGTCACTTTTTTCCTCCTTGGTGAGGATGCTTATGACCTTTGAGAATGGTATTGAAATTGGAAATTGTTTTTTTAATTTTAAGAAAATATCTCCTCCAAACTGCAAATAACTATATTACTTCTTTCTAATTATATAAATACACATGCTTATAGTAAATAATTCAAGAAACATAGAAACTTATAAAAGACTATAATGGTCACCTGGAATGATACCACGCTAAGATAATCATTACTAACATTTTGGTAGCCTTTCTTCCTGCGTCTCCTTATGACACACATAATTTTGCATAATGAGATGTTCAGCATGCTGTTGTCATGTAAACTCCTCCCACATCAGCACCTCCTACCCCATCTCTTACCACCCCTGCCACAATCCAAGTTATTAACCAAGTGTGTGTTCTTGCACATTACAATCCTATATGGACCTATGTAGACATAAGTGGGGAAGTATTTTTATTTTGCAAAAATGGGATATACATGTTCTGTCTTGATTTTTTTTTTCAGTATAGCTCATAGAAACCCCTCTGTGTCATTTGGTATAAGTGAGTGTATTGATTATATTATTTTATGTATTCTTGAAACTCTGGCATTTGGGGCCTTGATCCTGGCAACACTGCCCCTCCCAGGACTAGCTCATTCCTAGAGATAACAAAGGACTCCCCTGGGAGCATGCCTTTGATATACCAACCAACCAGTCTGCAGTCCACACCCCCAACAATCTTCTTTATCAAACTCTCACACACCAAGCCAGTATTACCCCTGCCTTAAATCACCCCAGGGCCAGGTGCCAGGCAACTAAGAACCACCCTATAGCCCAGAGTCTACTGAAATTATTCATTCTATCCAATCCTACTAAGTGGACCTACCCTGCTTCACCCATTCCTTCCCACAATAACCCCAATAAAGGCTCTGGGCCATCCTCTGCCCTCTCCCTCTGCCTCCTGACCCACCCTGGTCCTTCCGCCTATGGCCCTGCATGGCATGGTGTGCTGTGCCTCCTGGTGCTAGGCATCTGTGAGCATAAACTACTTCTTTCATGACAGTCATTTCCATGTCTGTGTGTCTTCACCATACCTGATTAGAACAAATCCCAGGTAAAAATCTTAACACATTTGGCAAAGTGAGATGTGTGGTTTCACACTAGATGGAGATATGTCCTTAATCTGCTCTTGGCTTACTAACTGGATCCAGCAGTCGGTAGCCACTGCCTGAAAGGGCAGCCCTGGTTGTTGGCACACTTGCTGCTTGCTGACTGTTGTGCTGTTTTCTGTCAGGTATTGCCATGATTTCCCAACCTAAAGGGGGCACTGACCATATTTCCCCACCTTGGTAGATGCCCAGGGTCCAGGATAGAACCCCTAGGGGTATATATACATCTCAAAAAGTTCTCTCCAAAGGGGCTGCGGAGTGACTTTCCTCCTAGGGCTATGGGAGTCTAATTCACTGACCAGGCAGCACTGACAAGCAGTGGGGCCATCTGAGTCATTCAGATGAAAGTAGCTAATGTCTGGGACGTTACATGCTCCTGGAGGTACTTGTACCATCAACCACTTCGCTTTTCCCTTCTGAGCTTTTCTGAGTCAAATTCTGAACTGTTCTTCAGAGAGTAGGAGATGGCTCTGCCTGAACATGCGTGCTGAGGCCATTTGTGGGTTCTGTTTGACGGCCGCCTCAGGAGATCACAGTTCCCCACAAATGTTACTGTCCAGGTCACAACCTTCTCTGCTGTTCTGCCTGCTGCTATCTCGAGCGACTTGTTCCTCAGCCCAGTGGAGTCTAAGAGGTCCTATCCCAGGAGACCACTAGCTCAATGTTTAATGAAAAAGAGGAGGACAGGAAGGGAGCATCTGGTTCTAGTACCCCCACAAACTGTGAAGAGATGATGCAATTAATAAAAACTGGAAAACACCTAATCCTCCATGCACACGGGCTCTCTTAAAAAAGGTGCTGCTTATCAGCAGGCAAAGGGTCTCACGCTCAAAACAACAAATGTGAAAGATAAAGCTGATGCCACCATTGCTGTCCTAGACATAGACCCTAGCCCTCTAAGGTTCATGGGGACACCCTAGAGATTGGGTGCTGCCACTCTCAGCAGAGGCAACTTGGGACCATCAGGAGCTTATCAGGTAAACATCCAAAAGAAAAAAAATAGGAAAAGTTTAGTTGCCTAGAAATACAAACCATTCGAAAAGATTTTGTTTTAAAAAGTTGGGGTGTGAGGAAAGGACAGATTATTCTGTGGACTGGGGCCTTCCCAGGGAGAGGTCGCCTGGAGGCACTTGGCCCCTTCAGCCTGCCAGCTTTTCCTCTTATCAGCCAGAAAAAGAAAGTAAAGACTGTGCCTTCAGGGGGCAAAAGCCTGAAACAGGAAGGAAATAAAGGAAAAAAGACTGCCAGGTTAGGTGGCTAAATGCCCAAGGAAAAAAACTGGAACTTGAAATCTCAGGTACTAAGCAAATGCCAGTCTAGCAAACATAATACTGATTCTAGATTACTTACTGGTTTAAAGACAAAAATAAAGCAGACCTTAGGTGTGGGGGAGAAAATAAAAGGTAATGAAATAATATATTCATATATATATAACAGTTTTATCATTCGGTCCAATTGGAAATCCAAAATTTATATGCTAAATTAATCTACTAAAGAATTTATATGAAAAAGATGAAAAGGGCATCTTGTGGATTCCTACAGCTGTGGTCTCATCCACTGGGGCTCCCATACCCAATATCCAGTATTACCAAAGGTACTGATTCTATTCAATCAACAAACATTAAATATTTTGCTCTTGTAGATTTGGCTAATGTGTTCTGTTCAGTGCCTATTTCAACAACCTCTCAGCTGCCTTTACCTCCAAGAGGTAAAATACACCTTTTCCAGGCTACCCATCGGGTACCTGCCATCACAGTCTTTGCAGACCAGATCTCAACTACGTCCACCTTTTCTCCAGGAGCAGAGGTATGACATTACATTGATGACATTCTCCTCCAAGGAGACTCATTTGATAACACTCATTTAGGATATACAGGTCCAACATCTTTTCGAACTTGGGGGTTCTGATGGCAACATACGCTTTATTTACAAATTTTACCTTCAGATTAAAATCAACAGGCACTCCTGTTAGTGCCATCAAGGGTTCCTTCACTAAAGAGACTGGCAACCTCTTGTCTTGCCTCCTGGAGTCTCCAGATCTTGCCAATGACTTCTAATGCAAGAAACTGCCCCTCTCATGAGCTTCAGAATATACTGCATTAAAACAAACAAAAAAAAGACCCGCTGGGCTCTCCGGAAAATAGAGGCTCTTACAGACCCTAAGCCTATGACCTTCCATTCCCAGCTGCCTGTTAAGCCTCAGGTCATAGAAACAGCACACCAGAAACTTAGCATAGCTCCCCAGGCCTCCTTAAGACAGGATAGAACCAAACCTGGGCTCTCTGGCATATTCCACCTGCAGGAGGAGGTGGCTTCCCCTGTCCACAGTCCCTTGCCAGATGCCGTGATGCTGGAGAATGTCATCCCTCCCCCAAACCACTTGGCTACCTGGGAAGCCACTTGGGACTAGCTGCAGGAACAGCAATGGGAGTACCTGGACTATGCAAATCCGCTGCTAACCGTCATACGTGATGGAGCTCAGTGGAATGTTGCTGCTTTCCATCTGTTAGCCAGGACATCCCTAATAAAAGACAAGACTCAAGAAACAACACAACACTTGGCCAAACTTCAGGCAGTCATCTTAGCGCTGGCCACTCTGGCCAACAAGTAGCCCTGTCTTCACGTTTATTATAAACTGTTGGGCCATTGGCTAAAAGTTTTCCCTTTCAGAGAGAAAAAGAACTCTGGGACCCTCTTGCCTCACAGATATCCAAAATATAAATCAAAATCACACATCTCCACTTATACTAAGGCCACAGTACACAGCCTTACCAGACACTTCATATTACTTTCGGAGTTACAGACATTACTGGTAATAACCAAGACACATTTTACTTCTCAAAATACACAATGCTAGTCTCTTGGAAAAGAGATTCAATAGAACTTTCATGTTCCTAATAGGTCTCAAATAGCTGATTTAATTAAGAGACATAATGGTCTTCTCAAATGACTCCTTTTCAAATTCCGGTCAGGTAAATGGACCCCTAAATGGTCTTTCTTGCTCCAGGCCTTAGTCTCTCTTAATTCAAGTCCCCTTGGCCAATTTACACCTCACACCAACTTTAAGAACTTTCTCATCACCCTTTGTTATATTTAAAGGAGGAGGTGCATTGTCTTCATGTATATAAAGACTCATTGTAGGGGCTGGCACTGCTTGGCAAAAGCCATGCTGTGGTAGGCGCCCCACATATAAAGGAGGAAGATGGGACATGGATGTTAGCTCAGGGCCAGTCTTCCTCAGCAAAAAGAGGAGGATTGGCAGTAGTTAGTCAGAGCTAATCTTCCTCATACACACACACACACACACACACACACACACACACACACAAAAAGACATTACATATGAGGCACTTTTTATAATGCCTTCCCCATCTTTATAAGTTTTTTATCATTCCCCCATCCCAGAAGGGCTGTAGGCCAGATCAAGGGCGCATACTCTCCTGGGACCCATTAACCAGATCGACCATGGACCAGACAGCTGCTCGTCTGATATGGGATCCATTTGAGCTTAAACTTCCACCAAAAAACAAAAAACGCCGTCAGATGCATTTACATATCTTTCTGTTGACTGTTGGTCTTATTACTGCTGATCTGGATGCTTTCATGAATTTACAATCTGGAGGCCCAAATCCTCTAAATAAGCTATTGTTTCAACCAAACATGGCCAATGCTGAGACCCACATCACCTCGAGTGGGTACCCTCTTGGAAAGGATACCCTAGTCCCACATCCCAGATGATACACCAATCCACGACCTCAACGTTGGAGATGACATCACCCTGGACACTAAAATCTGTGCCCCAGCAATGCCCATGGCCTCCTCTCCTAAGGCACAGATTGGACCCAAGACAGTTTTGCTTTTCTCCCTTTGATATTAGGGATCCCATTACACTTCTGAGCTTACTGTCTGCTTACTCCATGATCCTGCTGTACTCCTTGTTCTCTGTCAAAAGGCATACCCTACACTCCCTGCCTTAAGGGAATCTGATAGAGGTTACTTCTATCTGTACCATTCTAAATATTACTGGAGATTATTGCTTTCCCTGGAGTCCCCTGCCTCATATCAGTGAAATCGTTCAACCCTCTGGGGAGAGGACCCCCTACTTCCCAAGGCCTTTTCCCACTCTCACCCGGGGTCTCCTACCATGACCACTGCAACCGCTCTTTCCCCTTGGTTACACACAATACCATTAACCTTTACATTTACTTTACTAACATATCATTTCGTATCTTCCAACAAAATAACTGCTGGACTTGCCACCTTGATATATATAGAGAACATATTTTTAATACACTTTACAACTCCACAAAGATATTGTTAGAAACTCTAAGAATTTCAGTTCTGTTTTCTTCGTTAATGTCATATAAATAGAAAATCTAGTTATAGGATGGCCTACAGGGACTCCTCTACTTGTATTCCTCCTTTCTACTTTCATAGTGAAATGTTTTCTACACTGTTTAGGGCAGCTTATGCCCTACTCTTTAAGTCTCCACCAGTGTCACCCCAAAGACTCCTTAAATGATGCCCAAGCATCACAGAAAATGACTACATTTTCTTATTTTTTGTATTCTTGATACTCTGGCATTTAGGGCCTTGAGCCTGGTGACACTGCCCCTCCTGGGACTAACTAATTCCCAGGAATAGCAAATGACTTCACTGGGAGTAAACTTTTGATACACAAACCAACCAGTCCACAGTGCACACCCCAACATCTCCTTTATCAAACTCTCACACACCAAGCCAATATTCTCCCTGCCCTCAATCACTCCAAGGCCAGGAATCAGATAAACAGAGACCACCCCTATAGCCCAGAGCCCACCAAAATTATTCAAACTATCCAATCCTAAATTTACTCAGTGTACCTACGCTGCCTCGGCCATTCCTTCCCATAAAAACCTCAATAAAGTCTCTGAGCCATGTTCTGCCCTCTGCCTGCCTGTCTCTTGACCCACCCTGGTCCTTCCCCCTGTGGCCCTGCATGGGACCGTGTGCCGTGCCTCCTGGTTCTAGGGATCTGTGAGTATAAACTTTATCCTTCATGACAATCATTTCCATGTCTGCATGACTTAGAACAAATCCCAGGTACAAATTTTAACACACTAAATCATTATTTCTATTAACTGCACAATACTCCATCTTGTGTATGTACCACAATTTTCTTCCAGCCAGGCCCCTGTTTAGGGCCACACGTACAGTAGTGAAGATTGTGACGTGCACTATATTTTCCTTAGGTGATCTATTTGGGTGATACACTTTAGTCATTGAATGTGATCTTTTCCTCTGGCACAGGAAATGATAATTTTGCTGAGTATAGGATTCTTGGGTTGTAGTCCTTTTCTTTCATTAGTCTGTAACTATTATTCTTCCAGCTTTCATTATTGCAGATGAGAATTCCAAAAACAGTTTTATTTGTTTTCCCTTTATAGGAAACTCATTTTTTATAGCTGGAAGCTTGTCAACTGTGAGATTTTTTTCTCTTTATCATTAGAGTTACTTAATTTTATCAAGATACCTGGTGTCTCCCTGCCCACCCCATCCCCATCCCTTCCTGGACCTCTTGTGAGCTCTTTCAATCTGAAGCCTCAAGTCTTATCTCAGCTCAGGGATATTTTCTTCTAATATTTGTTTAAAATTTGCTTCTCCTCTGTCTTTTCTTCTTCTCTGCATCACCTAGTAATTGCATGTAAAGTCTACTTTGATCTCTCCTTCGCAGTCTTATCTTTTTCTTCCTGCTTGCCTTTTTCTTTTAATTCTAGAACAATGCTTGGCAGGTAGTAGGTGTTCAATAAATACTTGCTTTGTTGTTTCTGTTCCATACTTTGAAATTTTGCACTTGATCCGCTAAGTCACTAATTGAGGCCTGACTATGATCATCAGGAGAGACTTTTTAACTATTGTTTTATTCTCCTTCCCACCCTAAACTTTGTTTTGTTTTTAAACACTTGCAGAAATATATTGGAGAAATATAAGAGGCCTACAGAGGCTTCCACTTGAAACTTTTTAAAAACTGTTTTATTCAGTTGATATTTGTCCAGCCCTATGACAGTATATATCAATGACCTCATTACAAAGGTAATGGTCACCTGTGACTTCTCTCCAATGCCTTTACGTTTTGCAGATTTTCCTTCCACAGTGTCTTGGCTAACAGTATGCATCTTTTAGTCATGTAAGATGCTTGTATCTTGCCTTTTTCAAAGGACCCTTATGCCAGTAGTTTACCTCACCTCAAACTGACCCCAGTTTTAAGTAATGACATTCATGGTACACTCATGAAATGCCTCGTTTTAAAAAATATATAGAAACAATAAATGCACATGTTTTATTGACATATCCCTAAACCTGTGTTTAACAGCAAGCCTGAAAATAATATTATTGATAAGCTTTTGTATTTCCTACCAAGACTTTTCTTTACAATCAATTAAGGAAACACCTTAATAGAGAAAGAAGTCTTCTCTTCAAGTGAAGGATTCTTTCTGTTCAGTTTATACCAAAAAAGCCCCTTTTAAACTAAAAACCTTTAAAGAAAGCTCTGACGACAAACCCTTAAATTGTACCAATTTTATTAACAGATAAAAATAACTTCAAAATGAAGACTCTTCAGTAAGGCACACAAAGGTATGTAGAGACTACTATTGGTGAGACACCAGCAAACAAAAACTTTTAGCTCTGTTATTTAAAATCTGGATGAGACAAAAATAGAAAAAGCCTGTCTCCACAAACTAATCTCAATTATCGTTCAAAGAAATGTCACCATCTCGCAATGGAAAGAAACCCCTCAAATTAGATCTTAAACTAATGGCTGCATAGTTCTAACTCAGAAATATTTCATTACTGTTCAGTTATATACCAATACTTGATTATTTCTATAACAATGATATAACTACTGAAGATTAGAAAAGTTAAAGACATTTCTGTAAGTTATAATTTTTATAAAACAAATACATTGATAAATTTCCCTTTTTTTAACTGTTTTCTCTATATTCAGATGCTATTTACTGAGCCTGAATTTAAAAACTCTTGAGTATCATTAAAATAGCAAACTTAAAATCAGTCAAACCATATCAGAAATGAACCTGGCAAAAAACCTGGCATCCTGGGGATTTTTGCCTTTCAAAAAGTATAGCAGGGAAAGCTAATTACAGAAAGGAAAATGATCACTTTGTTTTGTGTTATGATGAAGAGTCCGCACAGCTGAAAGTTAAATCTAATGCTAGCATTAAATTTAATGCTAGGATAGAGTTGGTTCTTCTGTTTTAACTCTGGGAAAATATTAAACTCAGGGGACATATCTAACAGCTCAATCACGAATATGGCTTTTCTTCTTTCCAAAGAACACGTACAGCCTGTGCTGCCTGGAATCACTGTACTAAACCTTGGCGCCTAGAATGAATTACAAGTCACTGATTGTAATGCAAGCTTGTCTATCTTACTAGCTGTGTCAGCAACATCCTCAAATACAGGAGCATAGCTCTTTCGCAGATTTCTACACACAGAGAATTAAGAGAGATCACAACACAGTCGTTTGTTTTACTATTTCTCTTGGTTTTTTCTATTTTTTAATTGTCCAATTAAAAAAAAAGCAGAAAGTGAGCTAGACGGCAGCAAAAGAACTATGCTCCTGTATTTGAGGATGTTGCTGCCTTTGTGGCAAGAGTTAGCAACAGCGCTAAATTAGGGCCTGTTAACACTTTTCTGTTCAAGCACCAGCAGAAGCAAGAGAGCTACCATTTCCCGGGTGGCTCACACTCAGCTCTCCAGCTTCTCTTCCCCCCGTACAGCGGCATCATCCGCTGTTCTGTGAATGTGTAAACATACTGTGAAAGCTGCGCTAACGTGAGGAAATAATACTCCTAACAAGACTTTGAGAATTGAACTATTAACTATTTTTATCGTACTAATTTAATGTTTTCTATATATATTATATGTGAAAAATTTTGTCAGAATTTCAGTAATTACTGTGAAAAAAAGGTATTAAAAATAACTCAGTGACAATCACTATAACATTAAAAAACAAGCGTAATGGTTTCATAAAGAAATAAATAATAAACAATAGACTGAAAATCAAAAAACCTGAGTCTTAATCTTAGTTTTACTACCAAGTAAACAAATGAATTCGAATAATATTTTTTTAATTTCTTTTTCTCATTAGCTAAAAAAAAAGGAAGGCGGTAGAAAACTGGAATATAAAATTGTTAAATTCATTCCTGCTCCAAAACCACACATTGTAATATTTAGAAAGCATTTAAAAATGGTATTCACTGTATGAAATACATAAATAAGTAGAGGTTTATATTTAAGATTAATTGAAGGCAAAGGTGGTGTCTTTATAAAAGTTTAATGAGAGCCAGCCCTGACGGCCTAAGGTTAGAGTTTGGTGTGCTCTGCTTCAGCGGTGCGGGTTCAGTTCCCAGGTGTGGAACCATACCAGTTGCCTGTCAGTAGCCATGCTGTGGCAGCAGCTCAATAGAAGAACTAGAAGAATTTACAACTATACACAACTATGTACTGGGGCTTGTGGGGGCAGAAAGGAAGAAAAAAGAAGGAAGATTGGCAACAGATGTTAGCTTAGGGCAAATCTTGCCCGCAAGAAAAAAGAAAAGTCTCATGAATTATCTTATACTGAATGAAAACTCAAATTCTAATGGAATGAACATGCTGTTTTGCCTAAAACTTTTTTTTTTTTGAGGAAGATTAGCCCTGAGCTAACTACTGCCAATCCTCCTCTTTTTGCTGAGGAAGACTGGCCCTGAGCTAACATCCATGCCCATCTTCTTCTACTAAACTAAAACTTTTAAAGTTTCCATTCAAATTATTATGGAACGGCCACTGATTAGGTGTTTGATTTATCAAGTTACTTAGTCTCCCTGAGCTAGTTTCTTCATTTGTGGAAAGGGAATAAAATACACCCTACAGAGTTGTAAGGATAAATGAAATAAAGTTCTGACATATAAGAATTGTTCCGCTAATAGAATTCTTATTACTTAAAATCTCAAGATTATTGGACTCTGAGCTCTTATCAAAATTCTCTCAAATTTCACCTCCTCAGGACATGGTCTGCTTATTTATTTTGTCCTTCTCTCTCCTCTAGAATGTACACAGTATGAGGGCAGGGATTTTGTCTATTTTGTTTACTGCTGCATCCTCAGCACCTAGAACACTGCTTGGCAAATAGAAGATGCAAAAAATATATCTCGTATGTATACTGAATTAATTAGTGAACGACATCATTACCAAGCACTTAACCGCGAAACAACAATTCTACTCACAATTTGCAAATGATAAAGTGCTTAATTGATTGTGTTATTTTGTAATTTACTATGTACAAAGTTTTAAGAGTTATTCAATATTAGTTACTAACAGGTTTGACATTAATCTCGTAGTCTTTCTTCTCACAAAATGGCGAAGGGTCCTATTCTCAGGGTTGCTATTGGCCTGTGCAGCCAACATAGATCCTCCCTGAATCTTTCAGAGGGCTGCTGCTGTACTGGGGACTTACCTTGTGAATCTCAATAGTTGAACAAAATTAGGGGAGCTTTATGAAACCTCGAGTTCAGATTTCTCTATGTGGTCTTCTCCAGCTCTAGCCCACTCCCACCTGGTAACACTATGGTTGGACTGAATTTCTCCATTGCCTTTGGTTCCAAGTTCTGAGCTTTCTTCTCTTGTGTCCCCCTACTATGGAAAAAGGACAAATATTTCTGGAAATTTTATACATTTCAGGTCATTGATTATCTTTGTACTCAGGAGGAATGCAGGAAAGGCAAGATGAGGACTCACAATCTCACATGCTCATAAAGGGCAAGAAAACATGGTAAATGAGTGAAGGGGTGGGGGTAACAAGAATCAAATATGAGAATTATCATCATATCCTTGATTGTACTTTGGTACAAGCATGTGACATAAATATACAGTATTATGGATTAAATTTTATGATGTAACATTCAAATAACAAATTAAAAATAAGTATTTTGGTTATCGTGTTTTTCTTCTATAATTCATTATTTTTTTATCTTGAACCAGAGAAATGTGACATTTTTCTTCTGCGTCATCTGGGAGCAATTTTAATTTTATTCAAATTAATAATGTAAAACTTTTTCACAGATGTGGTTTTTCCAAAACATAGATTCCTTGCTCAATTTTATTGGATATTTAAAATATCTGAGTTATTTACAGAATTCAGTTCATGGTTAGTTTTCAGAACTACACTTCAGTATGCTAACTTCCACTTTTTAGCTCTTTATTCATATTATCAATATTAGTTAAGAAAAGGAAAATTTATCCAAGTTAGTCCATTTTTATAAATTTTGAAATCAAATAACTTTTTTAGAATTCAATTCTTAGTTCCACAAGGGGTAGTCACCACTTAAATTTCTGGAAAATGATGTCTGCATATGAAAGTAGGCTAGATTTTTCCTGGTTAAGTGAGTTTCCCAAAGGCACAATTTGGTTAGAAATTAGATGAATAAAATGAATGCTTCATTTGTGTAACTGGTTGTGAACACACTTGTAGAGAAATAGGGTGTATATAAGGTCAACCAGAGATCCAATCTGACTAAATCTTCACTAATGAGTTCAGCTAACACTTTCTTTAGATAACAAAAACCAATTTCTTATAAACATCCAAAGAAAAATCTCTTTAGTCTCACACTGCCTCTATTGTGCATACAATTCATTAAGTAAAGGAAGCACTGACATGTCTTCTATTGTTCAAAGCATAGCAGTACATCCATCTCATTGCCACCTTCATGACATGTTCTCTTGCTTTCGGTGAAATGTGATTCCCACTGAATTATGAAATAAACATACGTTGTACGACTTGTGCAAATTGCCAGCATGGGTTTAAGTTTTGTAAAACAAGCCCAGTCTTAGCACTGACTTGGTGGAGCACTTCCCGCAGCCGTTGACCCACTTCACTCAACACACAAAAATAATCTCCTGATATGGCCGTCACTGGCACAACGTTCAAAAGCTATTCAAATACTTAAAACCTTCCAGGCACCACGAATGACTGTAGCTAACCAGGTGATACATATATCTTATATCTATACTCTCATAGGCTGGAGGGGAAAAACTATAAATGATTTAACATTTTCATGCAAATTTGTACTATAAGTCCCTTCACTCTAGTTTCAACATGCTAAGAAATATTTTACCTGGTTAAACTTTTATTTGCAAATGCTGTTTCTGCTGAGGATGCAATTTCTGCTGCAATCACCCTTTCTATAAACCCATCATTGGTGAAAGGTTTTCATGCCAAGAAAATTTTGTTTACTTAACACATGTTACACCTTTGTCACTGCTGTAATTCCCCTTGTGTTCAGTCCGTTAAGTTTTTTCCTTGTTTGTCATTAACATGTCTTTGCTGTTCTGGTTATACTTCTTAATGCTGTTGGTTTCATAACAGCTTCTTAAGTCACGTGTGATAGTCGTGTAGGAACAGTCTCTACTTCCACAATACGCTCTTCTCCTTCTCTTGAAACACATGGCTGCGTCAGTCTTCCATTTTCCTGTTTTTACTGGAGAGAAAAACAGTGTGATGTGATAATAAAAGGCAACTCCTAGTCCGTGTTAGAGAAACAAGGTAGTGGTGGGAATTGTGATAAACTGGAGAATACCTGCCCAATGGCAGCAGCTTTTAAGAATTAGATCAGGTTTCCCTAAAAACCCAAAATAACTTAGCTTAAATAAAATATAAATGCTTTTCTTTTGATAAAAGTCCAGAAGGCGGTCCTCAGCTGGTATGCTAGTTCCAAGAGCACTAGGAAACTAGGCACTAGCTTTATCTTACTGCTCTTGCACCCTCTGTCAGCAGCTGCCCTCTTGTGATTCAACGTGATTGCTCCAGCCATTACATGCACATTCCACCCAACAAGAAAAACAAAAAGGAAGAAGATAGCATGCTCCCTCCCTTTGAGGACCCTTCTGAGAAGTTTCACACACCACTTTCACTGACGTTCTATCGCCAGAACTCCTGGTCACACCTAACTGAAAAGGAAGCCGGGTCTTTTTTGTTTTTTTAAAGACTTTATTTTTCCTTTTTCTCCCCAAAGCCCCCCGGTACATAGTTGTATGTTTTTAGTTGTGGGTCCTTCTAGTTGTAGCATGTGGGATGCCACCTCAGCAAGGCTTGATGAGCAGTGCCATGTCCACGCCTAGGATCCGAACTGGCAAAACCCTGGGCCGCCAAAGTGGAGCACGCGAACCCAACCACTCAGCCACAGGGCCAGCACTGGAAGCTGGGTCTTTAAGTGACCATGTATTTAGCCAAAAACTGGGAGATCAATTACTGCTGACCAAAAAAAAAAGATACGGGAGAACAACTATACATACAGAGAAGATTAGCATGGCCCTTGTGCAAGGACAACACACAAATTTGTGAAGCATTCCATGTTCAAAAAGAAGAAGAAGAAGAAGAGGAAGGGGCCAGCCTGATGGCCAAGTGGTTAAATTTGCACGCTCTGTTTCAGTGGCCTGGGGTTCGCAGGTTCAGATCCTGGGCACAGACCTACACACCACTCGTCAAGCCATTCTGTGGCAGCAGCCCACATTGAAGAACTAGAATGACCTATAACTAGGATATACAACTATGCACTGGGGCTTTGGAGAGGAAAAAAAAAAAAAAGAAATGAAATGATTCAAGATAAACCAACAGCCCGTGTTGCTCAAGGAACTAAAACAGCTTGGCAATTAAACCAATCTAAAAAACAATTTCTAGGTATATGTCATGATTATAAAACTTTTATTAATTCAACAAGTTTTGTTTTTTTCATTAAAGATTGGTACCTGAGCTAACAACTGTTGCCAATCTTCTTTTTTTTTCTTTTTCCTTCTTTCTTCTTCTTCTCCTCAAAGCCCCCCAGTACATAGTTGTATATTCTAGTTGTGAGTGCCTCTGGTTGTGCTACATGGGACGCCGCCTCAGCATGGCCTGATGAGCGGTGCCATGTCTGGCCCAGGATCTGAACTGGCAAAACCCTGGGCCGCCGAAGCAGAACGCGAGAACTTAACCACTCGGCCACCGGGCCAGGCCCTAATTCAACAAGTTTTATTGAGGACCTTGTAAATGCCAAGCTTTATCTCCAAATTTTTATCACAAAATATCCAGAGCCAAAGAGCTCCATTCTCAGCCCCGTTTTGTTCAGTAGCAGATCCTGAATTAGGACATTAATGGCAGTAGTGATATTTGCAGATGACACTAAGCTAGGAGGGATGACAAATATGGATGACAGACATAGGATCCAAAATTACTTCAACAGCTTGGAATGAATCATATGCCAAATTCAACCAATTCAAATTGAAAATGTCAAATCCTACATTGAGGACCTAAGGCAGACACCGTTCTTTGTCTACTCAATATCTATTCCCCCTTCCTTCTTCCCGATAAACCCACGTTCTGCTTGGGGAATCAATGTATCCAGCTAAATACTCACTTTTCCCACATCCTTTACAATTTAGAATGGCCAGGTGACACCCTTCCGGTTGAGACACAGTAGTAGAAGTCTACAAGGAGTTCTCTGGGAAGCTTTTGCATTTCTGAAGAGGCAGAGACAACTGGCATCTCCCTTTCTTTTTCTCCCTTCATCCTGCCTTCACTATCAGCTGTGATATTTGAGTTGTGGCCCTAGGGGACAATCACACAAGAAAGGCCAAGAGAATGGCAAAATAAAATGGTTTGACATTGTTAGGTCACTGAACGAACATCGCACCAGCAATTTTCATCTCTGCTCTTCTTATCGTGTGAGAAAAATAACCCCCTATCTACTTAAGCCTCTCTTTAGGCTGTCTGTTACTTGCAGCAGAATGCATTCTTGACACGAGCCTCAAACACCAATTGCAAAATGAGGTAAACTTCACAACTATGAAGCAAAATCTGGTGGCTAACTAGAAACCTAATACAACAAGCCAGTATTCTGTTAATTTACCTTAATAGACATATAATATTCACAAACAAGGGAAAATCGTTTCACCTGTAGTATTGTGGTTGGTTTCTAATTCCTTGCAATACTCACATTTCCATCATGGCAGTCACATGAAAATGAGTCACATGAAAGTCACATGAAAATGGCCAAAGGGACCAGGAATCATTTAACTCAGAGAAAAGGCGGCCTGCTATGGACATGACAACTATCTTTTAAAATCTGAAGAACAGTCCTACAGTATAAAGGTCAGATGTATCTGTGGCTCTAAAAGGCAAATCAAAAAACAAAGGGAAGCAGAGATGCTTTTGTTTAATATAGGGAAGAGTTTTAAAGCTAGCATTTTTCAAGAAGATATTTTGATCAACATTGTTAAAAAGCTGGTGTGTTTCTTTAATATTTAATATAAGTATATTTAACATAAAGCCTGTTGTACTGTTTTGTATTTATATACTCTCCTCTCTCTTTCCTCCTAACTACTCGCCTTAGAACTGTCAGCAAATCAATGAGTTACTCAAAACAAGCTTGCCTTCAAATTAACATTTTTAAGACATTTTTGCATTTTTACGATTGGGCTTAAAATTAACAGTAAATTTGCAAATTTGGAGGCTTGTTTTATTTAATACAGTGAATTGATCTTATAAATCTTGTTATTCTACTTGTAAATCTAGTAAATTTTATGTAAGCATAGCATATTCAATAAACTAAAGTTAAAAATATCAACTTCTCTTTCTTTTTTTATTGAGATATAGTTCACATACCATTAAAAAAAAATCACCCTTTTAAAGCATACAATTCAGTGTGTTTTAGTATATTTTCAAAGTTGTGCAAGCATCACCACTAATTCCAGAACATTTTCAACACCTCAAAAGGAAACCCCATGCCCCATTAGCAATCACTTCCCATATTCCCCCCAAAATTCCTAGCCCTAGGCAACCTCTATAGAGTCTGTCTCTGTAGATTTTCCTCTTCTGGACATTTCATATGAATGGATCCTACTATATGTGGTCCTTAGTGACAAGCTTCTTTTAATCAGAAAAATGTTTTCACGATGCATCCATGATGTAGCATGTATCAGTACTTCATTCCTTATTCACTGACAAATAATATTCCATTGAATGGCTATACCATATTATATCTATCAACTTATTAGTTGATGGTCATTTGGATTATTTCCATTTTTGGTTATTATGAGTAACGGTGCTATGAACATCTGTGTATACGTTTTTATGTGAATATATGTTTTCAATTCTCTTGGTTGTATATCTAGAAGTGGAACTGCTAGGTCATATGTCAACTCTGTGTTTTACTTTTTGAAGAACTACTGAACTGCTTTACAAAGTGCCTACACCACTCTACATTCCCACCAGCAATGTATGAGAGTTCTAATTTCAATTTCTCCACATTCTTGCCAATATTTGTTACTGTCTGTCTTTTTTATTACAGCCATATTAGTGTGAAGTGGTATCTCACTGTAGAACTCAGTTTCTCTTAAACCATAAGTCCTATTGACAAACATATTCAAATTCCTTTAAACTACATTGATAATTTTAATATTTGATGTTTCTAAGCGCTCCAAATGCCTTATCAGACAAATGAATATGCAAAACTTCCAAAAATTTAAACTCATCAATCTAATAAATTAAACCTATAAATACAATAAAACTTAACTTCTCATTTCAAGCATTTAATACTGATTATAAACATTTAAAATGTTTATATCTTTCATTTTTAAATCACGAATCTGAATTCAATTATACAATTCAAAATGGAATCTGAATGGAATAAACCTAATCTGTCAAATTCTCTGATATGCCAGATTCCCATAAACATCACTAAGATTTTAAACCCTAAACACTCATAAGTTATCTACTGCAGTAATTATGAACTTATTCCTACATTTAAGGTGAAAGTATCAACACTATGAGTTCGATCCCCTTTAGAATCTTCTTAAATTTTAAATCTTCCTGGGGTTGAAAGGACTCTTACTCACTAGGGCAACAGTTTTACCAGCTCAAATTCATTCATTGATCCATTCATTCATAACAAGTTGAGCACCAACTATGTACCAGTGAACAAAACAAACTAAATCCTTTGCTATGCTCAAACATTTCCATTGAAATGTTTTTATTATGTTTATTATTGAAAAGTGCAAAGGAGAAAAAAAAAGAAAGGGAATGAGAAGTGGAAGGAGGAAAAAACACTAAAATTTTAGATAGGACACCAAGAAAAGCATCACTGAAGAAGATGAATTTTGAGTAATGAGCTGAAACAAGTGAGGGAGTTAGCTATGCAGACATCTGGGGAAAGAACAATGCAGACAAAGAATACCAAGTGCAAAGGCCCTGATGCAGGAGCATACATGGAATATCGAGGATCAGAAAGACAGCCCAACGGAGAAGAGGGATTAGGGAGATAATGGTTGGAAATGATGTCAGGTTAAGAAGGGCCTTGTAGGTCCCTGAAGGGGCTATGGGAACTGAAGGGGATGTGGGAAGCCACCGGAAGGTTTTAAGCAGGAGAGAGACATGATCTGACTTAGGTTTTAATAGGATCACTCTGTTGTCAATACAGGGATTGGCTGAAGAGCAGCAACAAGCAGGAGCAAAGAAACCAGTAAAGAGAATACTATAATCCAAGCAAAGGATGATAGTGGCACCTCAAGGGATGACGGGAATGGTGAGAAGCGGTTTTCGATATATTTTGAAGGTAGAGTTGGCAGAGAGGAAGAGAAGAATTGAAGATGACTCCAAGGTTTTTGGCCTGAGCAACCAAAAGACAGAGTTGCCATTACATGAGGCAGGGGCACAAGGGAAGGGGTAAATATCAGAGGCTCTATTGTGGTCATTTAAATTTGAGATACTTACTAGATGTCCAAGAGGAGAGGCCCAGCAGGCACCTAGATATAGGGTCTGGAGTTCAGGAAAAAGAAATAAGCTGGAGACACACCTTGGGAGTAATGAGTATATAGATGGCATTTAAAACTCTGAGATTAGTTCAGATCACCTGAGGAATGGGTGTAGAGAGATGAGAAAAGAACCAAGGCTGAACCCTGGGGCGCTCCAACATTCAGGGGTCGGGAGATGAGGGGCAACCTGCTGAAGACCCTCAGAAGGAACGGCCAGGAAGGTAGGAGAACAGCCAGCAAGTGTGGTACCCAGAATATCAAGTGAAGACAGCATTTCAAGAAGACAGTGATCAACTGTGTCAAATAATATTGACAGGTCAGCTAATATGAGCACTAAAAAGTGATCATTGACTCATGTTCTCAACAACTACGTCAGCTTCCAGTCCTGGAAGAAGAGTAAGTTTCTCTAGAAAATTTTTCCCTGCCAGATCCAGTTTAAATCTCTTTAGTGCTTCTTTGGCACACTATGCTTATCTATATAATAGCATTAGTCATTTACAAAAATTTATCTATTATTTATTATTTGCCAAGAACTACTCTAGGCTGGCAATTTAACAAAAAATCAAAAATCCTTCCTCATGGAACTTTCATTTTAATGAGGGTGTAGAAAGGGACAGACAATGAACAATATTAAAAAGAAAATTTGTACAGTATATTAGAAAGTACTAAGTGCTATGGAGAAAAATAATACAGGGAAGAGGGATAGGGAATGTAAGGAGTTATAGTTATAAATAGTGTGCTCAGAAAAGGCCTCTCTGAACAAAGACCGGAAGAGGAAGCCATGTGGGTATCTGGGAGGAGAACATTCTAGGCAGAGGGAACAGACACAGAAGCTCTATGGCAAGAGCATGCCCGCCATGTTCAAAAAACAGCAAGGAAATCTGTGCAGCTAGATCAGAGTAAGCAGAAGGGAGAGTGCTGGGGGACAAGGACGGAGAAGTAATGAGGGGAGGTGCAGATTGCAAACCGTCTTACAGGCCATTGCGAAGACTTCAGCTTTTTCTCTGAAACAAATGGAAAGCTTAGAGAGTTTTGAGACGAGTGACATGAGAACACTCCAGTCTGTTTTGATAGTAGACCGCAGAGCGGGGCAACGGCAGAAGCAAAGAGCTGGTTAGGGGGCTATTGCAACAACCAAGTGAGGTTAGGAAAACCTGTCCATTAAGGAAGAATGCTAAAGAAGTTGCCAGGTCTTAACCAGCAAATACCAAAGAGAGGCCAAAGGAAGGGGTAACCATTTCCTGCTTTCTGCAGGGTGAGAAATAAAATCCTTTACTGACAGTCCTATCCTGTTCTATCAGTTGCGGCAGGCTAACTGTGGTAACAGATGAACTACGAAATTTCTGAGACTTAATGCAATATGTATTTGTTTACAGCTCATAAAAAATCCCTCTCCTTCTAGTGATAATTGGAGAACTCAGGATCCCTCCATTATGTGGCTCCATCACATTCAACATAAAGATTCCTTATGCTGCAGGAGAAAGAGTAGAAAGGATCTCACTTGGTAAGTGTGAATGAGCCAGGCCTGGAAGTGCCAAGCACTTCTGCTCAAACTCCATTGGCCAGAACTCTATCACATGGCCACACCAACACTGCAAGGAAGGCTGGGAAATAAAGCCCAGCTGTGTGCCCAGGAGGAAGAGGAAGCAGACCTAGTGACTAGCTAGCTATCTTCCGCTACAACTGTGAATGGGCATGCTCTTCATTTCTACCCATGTCTGTCACCAAGACTCCTTTCTTCAGTGCGCCAAGAGCTAATTCCTTTGCAGATTTTAAATTATAAGGAGCTGGCTATTTGTGTGGCCGCCACTGTTTTCACTCACCTACCATAACTCTTTAAGCTTTCCGAACAAGTCTAATTTTTCAGCCTCGTCTAGAAGAAAGAAGCCGAAATGAACGAAGTAACAAACTGACTCACAAATTTTGCTTCAGGGGATATGCCACAACTTATACTCTGCATCCATGCGCAGAGTCAGCTCTTCAGGATCTGTGCCAAAGAAAAGAAAACATGGATAATATAAAGCAATTCACAATCTCTTTTCTTCACTTAGGAGTTCAGTCTCTAACACATATATGCCCATCTCCATTTGGTCTAATTTTCAGAGCTGGCCCCCACCATCAATTATGCCACATTATCTGTAAACATTGATTAATTGACTAGAGATTACACCCACAGGATATATTGTTTTGAAAATATACCTTAAACTGTAAAATAAAAACATTCCAGTAACAGTTTAAAATGCAGGTTTCCATCAAAGGCTACATTCTGTAGACAAGTAAAGACAATTTGATTATTTTGAGCTTCTTGTTGGTAACAAAGGTTCACACATATTGTTTATAAAACATAACCCCTGGTTCCTCTTTCTGCTTACTTGTTACAATTTTATTACGGTAGCAGTCTTCTGGAAATATGGCAAAAGCTACAAAAAATTTTAAAACAGTGTATCATACAGTATTTAAAAATCTAATGTTTTTACAAAATCTTATGTGCTACCCTATTAATAAAACTGTCCTCAGTTTCTCCTCTTACCTCAAATTGATAAACTTTTCACAAAAATTAAGTGATTATCCAATCATCCTGAATGGGTAACAAATTATATAGGTAATCTCTTCAGCAGCAGGTATGTCTGGGGGAAAAAAGATATGCAATGTTAAAAGTAAAAAAGAGAGAGAGATGAAACTTATCAAGATTCTTAGCATTGGTTATTTCATAACTATCCAAGGCAGGGCCAGACCACCATTGGAGGGGCCCAAAAGTCTGTGGGTTTTTGTTTTTATTTTGCTGAGGAAGATTAGCCCTGAGCTAACACCTGTGCCAATCTTCCTTTATTTTGTATGTGGGATGCCACTACAGCATGGCTGATGAGTGGTGTCAGTCCACGCCCAGGATCTGAACCTGGGTCAATGAAGCAGAGAGCACCGAACTCAACCACTACACCATGGGGCCAGCTCCCAAAATCTGTTTTTTTTAAACATTAATTTGATTATTAAAATTAGACTAGTGCAAATGTAACTCTTCACAAAGACAGAGCCTCTACCTGCTGAATTCTTAAGTAAACCTATGCGGTACCATGAACATCAGTTAGCCATTACATAAAACTTAGATTAACATATACTGCATATACAGTATAGGCTAACAAATTCCAAAAAAGTCATGACAGCTAAATAAAGCTTTAAAGTGTAAATATTTTTTTGTGTTTTCTTAATGGTTCGTCATATTGTTTCAATTACATCATTAACATATAGCTTTTCTTGATGATATATTTAGTCATTCAAAGAGATATAAATTATGATAGTTCTCCTATCCATTTGAAAAGCACTTAATCATGAAATGTTATATATGAGAATTTTGATTAAATATTATTTAGATTTAGCCCTCACAGGACTTTGTGATATCAAGGTAAACTGATTGAATAAAGACAATAAACTGCTGCACCTTACTTTCAGATAATATAGTTGGTACAGAAAGCAGTTTCATAACATTGGAAATCAGATTAATCAAAGTTAATGTCCTAATCACAGTAAGTGACAATCCTTCATACTTGAAAGCCATTTTTATTAACATTTTCAAATGACTGGGGTTTATAGGAATTACAATTCTGATCATTATGATAATTTAAGGGATGTTCTCATTCCACATCTTGCTTATCTCAGGGATATAAATTTTACATAAATCTTAGATATATGAACAGAAGGACACCAAAAAGAAAATGATTCATCTGAAACTCATAGTTCGCATTTTCAATGCCAAAAAGAGATGAAGCCATTAAGCTTGGTAGGGTGTAGACACAACGAGGTATAGACACAAGATGCGGTGATGGTTGGTACTCAGTCAATGTACCTATCACACTGCATTCATGTTCTTCCTCTAATGATATCAATGATATTATTTAAATGTATACACAATACATATAGAAAAACATTTTAAAGCATTTAAATAGCAAGCTCACACAAAGTACTTCCAACAACTTTTCTAAATTCCTTTTCACCATCTGCACACTTAATTAGCAGCTACTGTTTGTAGGCTACTATTCAAGGCACAAAAGATGGAAAGAGAGAGCCAATAAATTGTCTGCCCTCAGAGGTTTTTAATTTAGTTGGGGAGGCAATAACAAACATCCAAAGAGACAGCTTACAGGTAAGATGTTTCTCAAACTGCAGCTCTCTCGACAACTAGATCAGAATCATATAGAGTGTCCGTTAAAACGCAGATTCTTTGGCCCAGTATCCAGACCTACTAAATCAGCATCTCTGGTGATATGTTTCTAGGGAAATGCATTTTAGCAACATCCCAATGATTCTGACTCTCAGTAAAGCTGGAGAATCACTGGTAAAAGTGAAATCCATAACAGACTGGCACAGAGTAAGAAGTTAACAGGAAAGACTCAGGCTGCTCTCAAAGAATGAAAAATACTGAAAAGAAATAAAATTGTAATTATTCACAGGAGATATTATTGTCTCAATAGAAAATCAAAGGTATTCTACAGACAAATTACTAAAAGAAGAGTTTAGTAAAGAGGAAGGATACACAGTCATTACACAAAAATTAATAACTCTTATATTCACAATTAGAAAGTATAATTTAAAACCACAAATACCATTTATAACAGCAGAAATAATTATAAGGTTCCTAGGAATAAATCTAATAAAATATTAGATTTTTATCTATACAATACAGAGAAAAATTAAAACTTTATTAAAAGACAGAGAGGATTTACGTAACTAGAGAAATAATCTCATGTTCATGGATGGGTCACCTCAATATCCTAAAGGTGGCAATTCTCTCTAAATAAATCTTTAAACTTTAGGACAATTCAAATCAAAATCCTCCCATAGCTTTTCATTGAAAAAAAAGAAAGAAAGCTGCTTTTAAAGTTTACGCAGAAGAGTAAAAGAGAAAGAAAATCCCAAGCAAGACAAATAAGCGATGGAATAGAACCGAGCTTAGAAACAAAGGAATACATGTGAGATCTTAACAAACAGGGACGGATACCTCCACTCACATCACAGCAAAGGGCTAATCTCCCTCCATATACATTAAGGCCTCCTAGAAATTGATAAGGAAAAAAAAAAAAAGCTACAACCTAATAGAAAAGTGGAGAGTAGAAACAGTTTACAGAAACGGAAATACAAATGGTTTTTAAACCTATGAGACAGATGCTCAGTCTCACTCACGGGAAACACAAATGGGAACCACAGCAAGATTCCGTATTGCATTTATCAAACTGACAAACAGCCAAACATTTGATAACACAAAGTTGGTAAGGGTATGGGGGAGAAAAGACACTTCTAGACATTGATGGCAGGAGTGTAAATTAGTTCAAGCCGATATAAAGGGCAATTTGGCAATACCATCACAATTACCAATGTTCTTATCCTCTGAACCAGCACTTCCACTTCTAGGAGGTTACTTAGTGCGTGCACTTATTCATTGTAGCACTGCTTGTGGTTAAGAAGGTGAATGCTAGAGCCTAACAGCCTGGCTTTAAATCCTCGCTTCACCACTTATTAGCATTGCGTCCTTGGGTAAGTTATTAAAGCCCTTCGTGCCTCCTTCCTTCATCTGTAAAATGCGGGTAATAATAGTATCTATCTCTTTGGGGTAACATGAGGATTAAATGAGTTAATCTATGTAAATAGTACTTACAACAGTACCAGCCACATACTGTGCGTGTATTGGTTATTGATATTTACATCACAGGATACAAACAATCTAAGTGTTTATCAATTTAACCAGGGAACTGGTGAAATAAGTTATGGTAGAATCACACAATATAGATGTAGGAGATGAATAAATAAGGTTTTTATGGAAGTATCTCTAGGTATACTGTTTAGTGAAAAAAATAGGTGCACAACAATGTGTATAGTATTTACTATTTTTATTTCTTAAAAAGACAGAAACAAGAAGAATATGCTCATGTTTAAAAAAATTTTTTTTAACCTCTGGAAATATATCAGGAAGGCATGATGGGAAAAGAGGTGGAGGGAGATTTTTCACTATTTGCCTTTTTGAAATGAAAGGCATGTGAATGTATTACCTGTTCCAAAATAATCATTTAAAAACAATTCCAGATGGATTAAAGATCTAAATTTAACAAGACAAACTTTTAGAAAACAAAAATGAGTATATTTAGGACATCAGAAAAAGGAAATATTTTTTATATAGGAAGCAAAAAGCACACAGCACAGGAAAAATATTGATAAACTTAACCACATTAAAAATTTTAAAACTTAAGAATAAGAAAAATCCTCACTATGGGGCTGGCCCCATGGCTGAGCAGTTAAGTTCATGCGCTCCGCTTCGGTGGCCCAGGGTTTCACCAGTTCAGATCCTGGGTGTGGACATGGCACCCCTCATTAGGCCATGTTGAGGCGGCCCCATGTGCCACAACTAAAAGGACCCACAACTAAAATATACAACTATATACTGAGGGGATTTGGGGAGAAAAAACAGGGGAAAAAAAAAAAAAAGATTGGCAACAGTTGTTAGCTCAGGTGCCAATCTTTAAAAAAAAAAAAAGTTTTTTAAAAAAGGAAAAATCCTCATTAAATTAAAATATAAGCTCTAGATTGAGAAAAGATATTGTAAAATACATAACTGACAAAATTAGCACAAATTGACAAGAAAAATATAAATATCTCTATGTAAAAATAAGCAAATGACATGAAAAAGCAATTCAAAGAAGACATCTCAATGGCTAAAAAAATATGAAAAGATGTTCAGTATCACTAGTAATCCTGAAAATGTATATTAAAACAACAATGAGAAACCATTTCACACCCATCACACTGGCAAAAACATAAGGTCTGAAAACACCAAATGTTGGCAAGGATTTAGGGAAATGGGAACTATTATTATACCATATGGTGGGAGTGTAGCTTGGCACCACTTAGCAAAGTCAGTCAGTC